GTCCTAGATTCAACTCAAGGAAGAACTGGACACCTTTGAAGCTTAATTCTATGCAAGTGAAAAGAACGTGTTGGAGCTCACAAAGCATCTTCACGAGGAGCAAAGCCTTAATGCATACATCGACATGAAGAGGAAGCTTCCGTGGGAGACTTGAGTCTTAGGGTTTAGAAGTTAGTTTTGTTGTCTCTTTGATACTTTGTTGTTTGCATTGTAAGCCTAAGAGGCAATTGTAATTTTGAACTTACCAATCAAAATTTTTGTTTTTGTTTCCTCTCAGTTAGCAAATTTATATCTCCTAAGGTCCTTGAAACATTGGATCCACATATCATGCATCATTTCATAAGCAGGTTTTCCAACACAGGTTTCCTCATCTACTTACTGTATATTTTAGTATAAGATGGCCCTCGAACAAACTGTCAAGGATCTGCAAACTCAGCATGCACAATTTCAAGAGACTTTTCTGAATCTGGCCAAAGGGAAACAAGAGACGACGGTTCTCCTCACCACGAAAAAGAAGACTAAGAAGCGGGTTTCTATCCATAACAAAGGGAGAAGATTCAAAGGTCCTGCTCAACCAGTTCGAGTGAATGATGTTTCCTCTGAGGAATATGACAACAAAGAGAAGGATGTCAGAAGTGTCAGGGGTGAAGATAGAAATAATCAGGTTTTTAAGGATGAAGACTACTCTGACGAACAATATCCTCCTACAAATGAAAAATACAAGCAGTTGGAAGACCGACTCAAAGCTGTGGAAATACAGAAAGTTCCTGGATTGGATTTTGGAGAGCTACGTCTGATCCCAAGGGTGGTCATCCCTCCCAAATTCAAGGTCCCTATCTTTTCTAAGTATGATGGGGTCTCTTGTCCCAAACTTCATCTGAGGTTGTATGTTCGATAAATATAACCTCATACTGCTGACAGGAAATTATGGGTCCATTTCTTTCAAGAAAGTTTTTCTGGTACTCAACTTGAATGGTTTTATCACCTGGAAGGAACCAACATTCACACATGGGAAGACTTGGTTACTGATTTCTACTAGTAGTATCAATATAATGCTGACTTGGCACCGACTCGTGTGCAGTAGAAAAACATGTCCATGGGCTCGAATGAAGGATTTATGGAGTATTCCCAGAAGTGGAGAGACTTAGTTGGAAGGGTACAACCTCCCTTGTATGACCGGGAATTAGTTGATACGTTCATGGATACTCTGACACGCCCATTCTTTAATCATCTGATTGGGAGTTCCTCATCTGGCTTTACTGAGCTAATTCTGATAGGATAAAGAGTTGAAAGTGGTATCAAGAGTGGGAAGATTCCAATGGATGCAACTTCTAATGTTGTGAAAAAGTTGTTTGGTGGTAAAAAAGAAGCCAATGATGTCTATGGTCGGAAAGGCCATAGTAAAAATGATTGCCATCAGTCTGTGGAAGCAATATTGATCTCTAATCCAGCATTTGTTCAATAATCACAACAAGGAAACTAACGTAGGTCAGACGCTCCGAGGAGGCAATTCACCAGGATTAATATGCCATTGGCTCAAGCATTGCAACATTGGTTAAAGACTGGCCTCATAAGACTTTGGGATCCTCCTCCTAATCCCAGCACATCCTCTCTGAAGTACAATCCAAATGCGAGGTGTGCCTATCATTCGAACAATCCTGGGCACGACGCCAACAATTGTTGGGCCCTGAAAAACAAAATCCAAGACATGATTGATAACAAGGAAATTGAGTTCGACCCTCCTGATACTCTGAACGTGATTACTGCTCCTATTCCAAAGCATGACAAAGGCATAAGAGTTATTGAAGATTTTTTGTATGTTACCTCCGTAAGTGATGTGGTTACTCCTCTCTCAATAGTCAAGAAGAATTTGCTACAAGCCGGTTTATTTTTGGGTTGTGTTAAAGAATGTTATTGATGAGCAGTTTAACCCAATGGTTGCGGGTTACTGAAGGAAGGCATTCAACGCCTGATGGATGAACATGTAATTTTGATTGAGAAAGTTTTGTATGATGAGAATTTATGCCGAGATTTTCCTATTATATCTGGTACTCCTTTCAAGATCACTTCCAAGGGTACTGTAAGGATTACTGCCAATTCAAAAGTTGTTCCCTAAATCATTACAACACCTGGGCCCATCCCATATTCCTCGGAGAAGGCTATTCCATGGAATTATGGGTCTGACGTCTTTTACCATGGTGTTAAACAAGAGTGTATGATGAAGATGATGAAAAGGTTGATCCTAACATTGAAAATATTGCAAGGACCAGCAAAATTACTAGAAGTGGAAGAATTTTCTCTCTAGAAATCTCTCCACCTGTTCGAGTTATGGTTACCAAGACAACTGCCAAGAATCTAGGTAAAGAGCCAATGATAGAGCATTCATAGACGGAGGCGCCAAAAGAAGATGCGGTTAAGGATACCTCTAGACAAGAAATGGAAGATGTTTTGAAGATCATTCGTAGAAGTGATTACAGAATTGTTGAACAGTTGGGGTAGACCCCATCCAAAATCTCCATGTTATCTTTATTACTGTGTTCTGAAGCCCATGCGCAAGATTTAATGAAATATTTTAATATTTCTCATATACAACAAGATATTTCTGCCGATCAATTTGGAAGTTATGTTACTAGCTTAAAGACTGATAATGGATTAGGTTTATCCGATGCTGACCTGACTCCGGAAGGGAGAAATCATAATAGGGCCATGTATGTCTCCATTGAATGTAGGGGAACTACGTTGGCTCATGTGTTAGTTGATATTGGCTCTTCTTTGAATGTTCTGCCAAAGGCCACTCTTGACTGGCTGGATTTTGAAGGGGTTGTGCTAAAACCCAACAACATTATAGTTCTAGCCTTTGAAGGGTCTAAAAGAACAGTACATGGAGAAGTGGATCTTCCTACCAAAGTAGGTTCGCAGATCTTTGAATTCACCTTCTATGTAATGGACATCCGACCAGCTTATTCTTGTCTACTAGGAGACCCCTGGATCCATGGGGCATGTGTTGTTACCTCCACTTTGTACCAGAAATTAAAGTATCCTATGAAAGGGAAGATTGTTACTGTCTGTCAAAAGGAGGAGTACATGGTCAGCCATCTGAAATCATTCTGATACATGGAGATGGATGGAGAATTTATCGAAACTCTATGTCATACTTTTGAAGTGATTTCCCCTACTATTGTTGAAGATGTTTCTTCCATTCCAAAGTGTTGTACCCCAAAATTTTCCCTCCCATATTCTTCAAGGTTTGTCAAGAATCATCTTCAAATGGTTCAAGATTTCTCAAGGGTTGCACAGTCCAAATGCCTCCTAAGCCAGTCAAAATTAGGGTTTTGATTCTTTCAAGGAATTTGAGGTTTTAAATGGCTCAATCAAGTCTCATAGGCCTATATACATTGTCAAGCACCTACATGTCAAGTCTCAAGACTCACAATGTCAAATTGCACAGTCAAAAGCTCCATTTGCTTCACAGCCAACTACAGAGGTAAAGTGGTCATTTTGCAGTCAAAAGTCAGAATTTTTGGTCAACATATTATTTTGAGTCCACAATCATCATTTGATCAAGTCTTGATCATGATTCCACAAGCATGGCTCAAAATTCATCAAAGATGCAAAGGTTTCTATTTTTGGACAGCTGAAAAGTCAACTGTATCTTGACCAGGGCATAACTTTTTCATGGTTCATCAGAAAAATCCCATCCAATGCTCATTTTGAAGGGGATGACATTTCCTACAACTCATATTCACATTCCAAGTCCAAGAAATTCTCTCACAAAACGTTATCAATTTCTACATTATAGGTCAATGTCAAAAGTCAACAAAAATGCACTTTAAGTCAAAGACCATAACTTGAGATTGGTAAATCCAAATGACATGGGACCAAAGGAATTGGTTAGTGGACTTCAAGACCTTTCCAAAATGTCCAAGAACATGTTCATATGATCCAAATTGAGCAAGATATGCATTGGAGAAGTTGGGTAATTTTTGTGAATTTGCAAAAGTCAATTTTGCTCAAAACACATCATTTTTGCTAATGGGCCTCAAATTTCTTCTTGAAACTTTGTCCAAGGCCTATGCACGACCCATTGGGATTATTTGAATTTATTTTCTTATTTTCTATTAATTAATTGGATTTTTTATTAATATTAATTCATTTAATTGATTTAAAATGTAGGAAATTCAAAGATATGATTTCTCAATCTTTTTATGAAGCAAAAGTGGTCAATATATGCTGGAGATTTCGTGTGCCAATCAAAGAGACAAAAATATTACAATTTGGCAAGTTTCTTCAATCAAAAAGATTGAAAAATATTTGATTGAAAATCAAATATTCAAGTCATAATTCCATGAATCTTTTGCCCAAGGATTAACCTAATTCAGTCCTCTATATGTACACAACCTAACCTTATTCATGTGGACGTGAAAAAAGCTGAAAAACATCAAGAAATTTCCATGAGGCCTCCCTTTTCTTTTTTTTAATTTATTCTAAATCATATGATATCAAACTGGTGGCTTTATTTTTACGCCAACATCTTATGTTGTGTTTTAATTTACTTTTTCTTCTCAACTAGATGATGATAATGACTCTGACGGCTACTCTTTTTTCTCTAAAAAAATTACTATCACATTAATATGCACAGGAAGCCTTTTCTTTCTTTTTCACTAACAGAACCCCTCGTACATAACCAGTTTTTCCCATGTGCATTAAAGACTCTTGTCATACTTTGTATATATGCGCATTTTACATATCCTTTTTCCTGTACAGATAACTCATAAAAAAATCAAACTTCTTCTAAACCTCACTTGATTTTCCTTTTGTTCCCTTTCGGAACCTGTTATATCATACAGCAATTCAAGAGGAAATATAGTTGCATCAGATTAAATTAACAATGTTAATAACATTCATCAAAAAATCTCACAAGAATTTTCCACAATGCTTGCCATATTAACTTGCAAAAGTTTTCAAACCTTCAAAGTATATTATTCTTTCTGCTACTAATCATGTTACAGGGAAGGAGAAAAATCAATGAAGGAATTCATGACCAGAACCGGAGCCGAGTACCTACCATGGACAACCACGTCATTGTCTCCCCCACCGCGACTTCACCACCAACAGATTCACCACCGTGCGGCCCTTTCGATGAACGCCAACTCGCGTGGACATCGCAAGCTTCGACACTGTTGAGCAAGACTTCAAGATCGATCTGTGTATCAATCAAAACACTGGTTTCTGCTTCAAATTCGGGTTCGAAACTCGCGAGAAGGTCAACAGATGTTCAAGTCTGCTCGCGCTCACTCCGTCTCACCGAAGACCGCCATACGCCACCGCAAACACCTGAAGCAGCTCCGATCTGTTGCCAACGATGCTCTTCCTCTTTGTCACGATTTCACTTACCAACGCCTTTCGTTCTTCCCCCGCGATGAACCCTCCTCCGATGCACCATCATCCTTGTAGTCAAGATATGTGCCCTCTAACTTTAATTTGGTGTGATGCTTTCGCCTTTTCTATGTGAGATTTGGTCACTGATTGAGAAGAAGGATAGGGGGTTAAAGAAGATGGAGTCTCTGTCTCTGTTCCAGTAATACTTTCCTCCCCCAAAACCATTATTTGTTCTTTTTTTTCACAAGATCACATGCAGGTTGCAAAAGCAGGTTTACCATGTACCTCCAATTATCCACGCGCCATGTGGCTGCCAGCATAAATCCAATGGCCAAAAGATGATGAGTACCATACTCCCAGTCAACACATACGTGGACAATTAGCAAAGTCAAACAGGCTTGTGTGCAAATGGGCTGGGAAATTTCTAACAAACCTCCATTTTGGGCCCATCGCCCCCTCTGGTTTAATTATTTCTTTTCTTTTTTTTATTTTGTTTTCTTTTAATTGCTTCATTACTAATTATTATTACTATTTATTTAACTAACAAATAATTATCTTTATAATTAACTCAGAAAACAATATTTTCTTATTATTATCATTATTTTCACTATTAATTATTATTTTGTAAATAAACACTAACATGAATTAATTTAGTTTAATTAGGTTTAATTTTAATTTTCTTTTACAATAAATAAAATAAATTAGACTTAGGGTTTTTTACTAACTTTTGACCTTTTCTTTTTATTTTCATCAAAAACATAAAAAACACAAAAAAATACTTTTTTGTTTAATTAATTAATTAATTAGTTATTAGGTTTAATATTTAATTAATTGAAAAAAAGGACAAAATGCCATTCTTTTCTCAAAAAGGGTCAAAACCCTAAGGACGTCCCGATTCAATTTCTTTCGCGCATTATTATTATTTTGATCATATTTATGTATCTGCTCCGAGAATGTAATAGATAATTAGGACTTTTATCGCTTTCTTTTATTTTCTCGCATTTACTTTTCAAGGGTTATGTTTTTGGCGATGTAAATACCCAACGCCTTGTAATAGCGTAGATTCACTTTCCGCAATTTATTTTCCGCAAATTATTAACTGTTAACTATGCATGACAAGACTTGTATGAAAAATAAAATCAATTTGTAGCTCACAATGATGCATGTTCAAAGATAATTTAAACTGAACCTGACACACATGCACATGCCACTCTTAGGGTACGCCTCACTTGGTTGCCTCGAGGTGGTCGTCAAGTATAGGGTGTTTTAGAGGTCACCCTCCTGTCTAAAGATCCAGTTGCCTCGAAACGGTTACCTCGGATAAAAAGGATCTAGGACATTAGGGTTACCGCTAAGGCGTCCTACTATTGCTTTGGTGGCCACACATGTCCCTATAATCGAATTGACCCGAATAACTCCAACGACGGTGCTACCTACTTCTCAATAGTGGGATAGTACTGTCTAAAGGACTCTTGCACAGCCTAATTCCTTAGAGTAGGTAGATTTCTCCTGGGTACTTGCTCTTTCAAAAACAAAAACAATCTTTTCGCACCTACACTTTCAAAAAGTTTTCAAACAAATACTTCATACACTCTTGAGGACTGATACAAGAGTTACCTAGAAGTTTTCAAACGAACTTTTTCAAAACCCACAAACACAAGAAAAGCAAAAATCTTTTGAAAACATAGTGAGCAAGTACCTAAGAGTCCGTGGATAACCACGGATAGAAAGGGTGCTAACACCTTCCCTTTCTATAATCTACCTCCCGAACCGAGAAACATCTCGAAAAGGAATTTGTTGTGCTTTTGTCCTTTCCTTGTTGGAGAACATAAAAGACGGTGGCGACTCTTGCTTACCGCGACATTTTGCGAACCATCATTTCAAAACAGACAGTTCTCATTCCCACCGATCACACAAAGACTACCAGGGTTCTGCACAAGATGGCCTCTCTGAAAGATGCCAAAGCTACTACAGAAGAATGTGGTTGCACAATTTGGGGTCAGCTTCCTGATATCCCTTACAAATCCGATAACTTTGGTTTGCGCTTTACTATAGAAGGTCAAAGGGTTGTACGTCACGCTCGTGATGGAAGACCTCCATTCTGTTTCAGCAACAATGGAGTCAATACTATAGAAGATGCTGACAATGATTGTGACTTCGACAATTGGATATTCCCTACCATTGGCAACGAACGCGACAATTGGAAAGCATAAGACATTATCTCCATCTCCTTTAGCCAGGAGTAATAGCTATTTCTGTTTTATCTCTTTAAGAATTTTGGTTATGTAATTTCTTTTAAAACAATGACTTTAAACCTTGTGTCTTGCCCGGGGCACAATGGTCCTTTTGTTAAGGGTTTTCATTTCATATGTCATATTTTCATTTAATGAAAAAATATTGGATGTTTGCATTCAAATTTTATGCTCTCTCTCTTTCTTTTACTTTATTACACTTTCAAATGGCTATTTTTTCTTACACGCACCCACACACTACATTGTAGATCCCCATCCACTCTGGATCTCGTTGATAACGACTCTTCTATTGTCACTTATGACTTTGAAAATTCGATCTACCAAGCCGAGGAAGAAGGTGATAAATATTGTGAAATACCTGGAGAACTTTTCGGACTCTTAATACAAGAAGAAAAGGCTATCTAACCATATGAAGATCCATTCGAAGTTGTAAACGTGGGTTCTGAGACAGACAAAAAAAAGGTCAAGATAGGTGCCAACTTAGAGGATAATGTTAAGAACAGGTTGATCCAGATGTTGCACGACTATGTTGAGGTATTTGCTTGGTCATATGAAGACATGTCAGGGCTCAATACTGATATTGTGGTTTGTTATCTGCCGATGAAAGAGGATTATTATACGATTAAATAGAAAGCTTGTCGCATGTGTCCCAAGATGTCAAAGAAGATCAAGGCTGAGGTTATGAAACAATTCAATGCAGGGTTCTTAGCAGTAACTTCATTTCCTCAATGGGTTTCTAATGTTGCTCCGGTACCAAAGATAGATGGCAAGGTACATATGTGTGTAGATTACAGGGATTTGAACAAGGCAAGCCCCAAAGATGACTTCCCGCTGCCATATATTAATGTTCTGGTCGACAACACTGCTCAACATAAGGTATTATCTTCATGGATGGTTTCTTAGGATATAACCAGATCAAGATGGCACCCGAAGACATGGAGAAAACTACCTTCATCACACAGTGGGGCATTTTCTGTTACAAGATCATGCCTTTTGGGTTGAAGAATGCAGGGGCAACTTATCAGCGTGCCATGGTTGCCTTATTTCACTACATGATTCATCATGAAATAGAAGTCTATGTCGACTACATGATAGCAAGGTCATAGACTGAAGAAGAACATCTTGATCATCTACACAAGTTATTTGAAAGGCTAAAGAAGTACAAACTGAGGCTAAATCAGAACAAATGCACTTTTGGGGTGAGATCTGGTAAACTCCTGGGTTTTGTCGTCAGTGGTAAAGGTATTGAAGTTGATCCTGAAAAAGTTAAATCTATTCAAGAAATGTTGGCTCCCCATACTGAGAAGGAAGTTAAAGGTTTATTAGGACGACTAAATTACATTTCTTGATTCATTTATCATTTGACTGCTACCTGTGAGCCAATCTTCAAGCTCCTAAAGAAAGATCAAATAGTAAAGTGGAACAACGACTGTCAAATAGCCTTTGATAAAATCAAGGAGTACCTATAAGAACCTCTGATTCTAATGCCACCAGTTAAAGGAAGACCTCTAATCATGTATCTAACAGTGCTAGAGAATTAAATGGGGTGTGTACTGGGGCAGCATAACGATTCTGGTAAAAAAGAGCATCCAATATACTACCTTAGCATAAAGTTTATTGACTGTGAAACAAGATATTCATTTCTCGAGAAACTTGTTACGCTTTGGCCTTGGCTTCTCTCCGACTAAGACAGTATATGTTAACCCATACTACTTTATTGATTTCTAAAATGGATCCCATCAAATTCATATTCGAGAAGCCAGTCCTCTCCAGAAGAATAGCCCGATGGAAATGGTCTTAACAAAATACGACATCTAGTACACCATTTAAAAGGCAATTAAAGGAAGTGTACTGGTAGATCATTCGGCACATCAAGATGTAGACGACTACCAATCTATGAATTTCGAATTCTCGGATGAAAACATCATGCTAATTACAGATTGTGAAGAACATGGATCGTATGAAGGACCTCAGTCAGGATCCCGATAGACTATGGTTTTTGACGGGGCTTCTAACACACTTTGGTGCCATAAGTATCTCTCATCAAGGTTTCCATACACCCTTCACTTCCAGACTTTGCTTTGACTGCACCAATAATATGGTTGAATATGAAGCGTGCATCTTGAGAATTTAAGCTGCTATTGACCTGAGAATCAAAATCCTGAGTGTATATCGGGATTCAGCCTTGGTAATCATCCAGGTCAAGGGAGAATGTGATATGAAACATCTGAATCTTATCCCTTACTGAGAACATGTGCTAACCTTGATTCTGTACTTCGAAGAGATTACTTTTAAGCATATCCCAAGAGAAGAGAATCAGTTGGCGGACGCATTAGCTACCATGTCATCCATGTTCAAGGTCAGATGGGACAATGAGGCTCCCATGATTACCATTGAAAGATTCGATGAACCGACACATTGCTATGAAATTGATACTGATGGGGTAGAAGAAAAACCATGGTTTCATGAAGTGAAGAGGTACCTTGAAGCTCAAGAATGTTAAAACATAGTTTGATTATACAACCCTTTATTTGATTTTTGATGATAACAAACACAAAGAACAAATATGCACTCTAAAAATTGTGTTACTGTGTATGCAGAAGTTCTAACCAAAGCAGCATCAAAAGTTAAGCTATAGAAGTTATACGCTGAGGTAATCAGAATTTGCGCTGAAGAATGATGATCAGAACCTGCACTTAAGAGAAGTAAACTCTGACTCTGAATAGAAGGATTATAATCTAAGGCATTAATGTTCTGAAGCATGAGCACCAGGAAAGGATGTAAGATTTTGA